AAATTTACCAGGAAAGAATAAAATAGAGGATTAGATTTAAAAAATCTCGGTACAGCTGTTTAACGTCAACCAACAATGTAGTATACATAAATAGATTGGGTGCGCTGGCGCAGGACATTCGGTGAAGTCATCGATGAAAATAGTGCAGGATCGTAGGGCTGTGTTTTATTTTGGTTAATTATTTTTGTGATTTATTATCGTGACTCATTGAATGTGAAGCGAGTTTGTAATATGTGGATTATGGTTGGCACTTATGGGATTCAAGATGCGTTTAAATTGTTTGGTGAAACGTAAGAACCTATCGTGTCGCGTCTCTGATTGATGCAGTTGACCAATCACAATCAAACGAAACGCGACATTCTTTCGTCTTTTGTTTTTGAAGTTATACTTCTTTTGGCGTGTTAGGGAAAAATGAAGAGAGTAAATTTTTACGATGCGCGCGCACACCATCATAAAAAACCGACACCCTGAAGTTAGTTAGCTGTAGTCAACTTTAGTTTGTCTCTAGTCTCGTTTTTTCTACAAACGTAGAATAAAATTTTGGAAAAGATTTTTATCTTGTTCTAACGCGTATACATAAATAAGTACATACACGGTTTTTTATGTGGAGGCAGGCAGGAGGCTCACCAGATGTTAAGTGATACCGCCGCCCATAGACACTCACATTGCCAGAAGGCTCGCAAGTGCGTTGCTGGCCTTTCAAGAGTTGATACGCTCTTTTCTTGAAGTAACCTAAGTCCAATCGGTTCGGAAATACTTCAGTATTCAAAATACTTGTTTGAATTCGTTTGCCGAAACCCAAAATATTGAAAATGGAAAAAGAAATTTATATAGATATAATTTTTTTCGAGTGATTCAACAGAATAAGGAATATAATAGAAATTTCCTTAAATGTCCATGAACTTGTGTTTGCATTGCGCCTTGTGTAAGTAATGTACACATCACTTATCTTAATTAGCGTGTCATCAGTTATAATTGTCTTCAAAACACACTGTCAAGTGTAATCTTTGTTCAATATTTGTTCATATTAACTTTATTGTGTTCTTCCTTTTACGTGTTCTATTTTATATTTATGAAACAGTAGATAATGTTACAAGTAATGTTGGCCTAGTGGCTTCAGCTGAGGTCGTAGACTCGATCCCCGGCTGTGCACCAATGGGCTTGCTTTCTATACGCATTTAACATTCGCTCGATCGGTGAAAAAAAACATCGTGAGGCTTGCCTTAGACCCAAAAAGTCGACTGCGTGTGTCAGGCACAGGAGGCTGATCGCCCACTTGCCTATTATATTAACAAATGATCATGAAACAGATACAGAAATCTGAGGCCTAGAATAGACTAAGAAGGTTGTAGCGCCACTGATTTTTTTTTAATATTTCAATTTGGATGCATATTATAATAATTTCTTTAATTTGATATATTTTATAGTAAATCGATATGTTTTGTTAACGAAGCACATAGGTAGAAACATTATTATATAATATATGCGTCCACTAAACCCCTTTTTCATAAAATCTTAAATCCGTCTAAAAGCTTTAATCTTGTACAATAAAAATGTATATATTAAATATGTCGGAGTAATGGCTATAGCCTGCAAATAAACCACTTAACGGTTTTTAACTAATTTGTCTTTGATTACTTAATTATAATTACAATGTCAGCAGATACCAGCGCCAGTCCTCCAACATATATCATAAATATTACCTTCTACGTTGAAATATCTTTTGTTATAATCTGTGATATAACTCATGTTTTTGTGTTTTATCGCGGCAACCCTGGCCCGAATGAATGGAAGTGCGCCGGAGACAGTTCACAGAAATGATCGCAGGCGCCAAGCAAGTTCAGAATATGATTCATCGTTAATAGCCTTATTGGCGAGAGTTATCCATTATTCAATTAATGATTGTTACGCTTTAAAATAAACGGCGCCATTGTCTTCTAAGGTCAAGGTTTAAGACTTATTTGATATAAGTGGTCCATGCGGATAAGTAGCCCAAATGATCGGCTGTTTTTAGTACCGATTTTCTTTCAAATTGTTCTTTGAAACCTCTCGATTCACTGATGCTTGCGCTGACGGACAGATACAGGCTAGTGATGGTACGATTTCATGCGGCATTCAACTTACTGTAGTCGGTCCGGTTTTAATGTTTAAAGAAGTTTATTTCTCATTACAAAAATAATATATTTTATGATAATGAAATTAGTTGATTGACATTATAAAAATTAAATGATAAATAAATAAAATAAAAAATTGTCCACCAGTTGTAGCGATCGTGTCTATGCAAATGATGTTTGAATTTCCATCTTCTGACGGTTTCATAATAAAATCAAATCGTATACCTATACGAACGAAATACACTTCGCCATTAGCCGTCCCAATTTTACTAGGCTCGTTCTCATATGCCTTTAATGCCCTTTTGAATGGGTTAAACACGCGAATATTTTAGATGGTGATTGATTAAATGATAAAAAAATAATAAATAACCTCATACTTAATAGACTTCTTCAAATAATTTGTACCCGGCTTCGGCAAGATAAGCAAACTCGCTCGACGAGTATTGCGTGTAGTGGTGTGTTTGATTTTTTAAGTGATAACTTAGTTTTACTAGTCTAAATGTTTAGCAAATTTGACTAAGTTTTGATTAATAAGTTTTCTTATCTATTTAGTCATCCAAAAGTAATATATGTTATTAATAACGTTGTTGTTTTAAAAAGCCTTCAAGAATTTAACTTACGAATGTTTTCATTGAAATTAATACAATCTGTATTGCATCTTGTATGGTAGTGAATAGCTATACAATTTAAAATACTTTTTCCATCCTTCCGTGTTGCCTTATCCGACATCTTGTCCACGCCAAGTATGGCACACGCTTCTTACTTGCAATTTTATTCCAATGTTTCTTGATACAGTCTTAAAGGAATTTCTTCTAACAATATTTTTTATTAAAAGGCATCTTAACCTCGCCGCGTGAATGTTGACTGATAATATTTTTTAGAAGCGTCTTAATTGAAAATATTATTTTTCCTCTCGAATACGTATTACTTGAATATCTTATATTAAAAACTGTAATTCATTGTAACCATATTAGAGATTGTATCATTGTTAATTTTTAATTCATGTTAATTGTAATAATAAATAAATAAGTGGCACTACAACCACTTTAGGTCCGGGCCTCAGATTTCTGAATCGTTTCATGATCATTTTTAAATCTAATAGGCAAGTAGGTGATCATCCTCCTGTGCCCGACACACGCCGTCGACTTTTTGGGTCTAAGACATATTGCTTTCCTTCACCGTACGAGCAAGTGTTAAATCCGCAATTAGAACGAAAGTCCATTGGTGCACAGCCGGGGATCGAACCTACGACCTCAGGGATGAGAGTCGCACGCTGAAGCCACTAGGCGAACACTGCTGTTAATTGTAATGGGATCATTTATTCGTTGAGATTTTTATCTAGTAGTGTGATACGATGGTAGTAGTGTGTTAAGGAACCGACCTCGAGCCATTTCTTTTTATATTTTACTAAGTATTTTTCCTATCACTCACCAAATGGATCCTCGGATCCTGTTGAACTACGGAGGGTGTTTGTTAGTGGTTACATTTGGATAATCTTACAGTGACTCGTGCGCTTGCAATCTGGTGATAAATCACTTCTCTGTCAACTATACTAGCCGACCCTCTTATTTGTAATACAGCTTTAAGTTATATAATACTTTTAAAGGCATTTGTCGTTTCGAAATTCCCTTAACGATGATTTGTCTTGCTTTATTGTGACTGTGTTAAATTTTTATTAAGATTCATGATTTCGCTGTCACTTTTTCGCGTCTCATATATTTCGTCTGTTATATTGCCCTTTTATGTATAAATTTAATCAATATTAATGGTATGATGAATATAATTTTAACGATATTATAACGATTGATTTTAATGTTTATTTAAAGTAATCGTAAAATAAAACCCAGGCATGCAATGTTACACCCGCCTAGAGGAGTATTTTTAGTGATCGTCAGTATGGCTTTGGTGGCGCTGGGGGGGGTTTGAAGGTGGATGGGGCGTTCTTTCGAAACTACCGTAGGTTGGAGTGAAATTTTTTGTAGGACGAGATTCTATTAAGGTTCAATCCTACATGAGGGTTGGGGGCACTGTTCTTTATATTTAATATGACAAATATTTAACGACAGACCATCAACATTATATCTTACTTAAATTAGTAAAAGGTTTGGGGAGTAACCTTTTAAGTTTAATTAAAAACTAGGTTTGTGAAAAAATTTTTGTATAATTTGAAGGGTAGTTCGTAAAGCTAGTAGGATTAAAATCAATTTGAGTATAAAAAAGCCACTGTTAAAAAAGGAAAGTAGAGTTACAAGGCTAAGAAAAGAAAGGAAAATACCATTGGTTCTTAAAGAGAAACACTAAATTTACAGCATATCTTGAGGTTGGAGGTCTAGGTCTTAAAGGCAGGAAGGAAAGTGGTTTAGAGATAGACCTCCAAATAAAAATACTTGAACACTAAAGGGGAAAAAAATAGGGTAGACGCATTTTGGCATCTGTTGTATTCATTACAATTCTTTGTATTGATGAAGGGTGAGTGTGTGCCAAAGCGATGCACATTATGCCAATCCTAAACTCACAACAATACTCTGATTAAATGATCCCATTAAAACTATACATACAGTTTTGTTTACAACTACAGCAGCTAAAATACTACTTCTAGAAGGTCTACTGATGATTGGCCATATACAGTCAAAGTCTGTTATAACGACACCGAAGGGACTACTCATATTTGGTCGTAAAAACAACCAACGAAGTTGTTATTAAGTATCTAATACATAGAATTCAGCCGGGACCTTTGATTTAGGTCAATATAACCGGTTCTTTTGTTCTAAACGTTGTCGTCGTAAACGGTTTTAATTGTATTTGTATATTGAAGAATTGTATGATAAACGATTAGTACGTGCTGATATGTGAATATAAAAAGCTTTAATATTATTTGTTTTTCAGAATGATGAACCACCAGAGATCACATATTGCGTGGTGGGCGGGGAGGGCGGCCTGGCGCTGCAGGCGGTCACTCCCACGCACCCCATGCCCTCACAGGACGAGCTGGACGCGAAGTTCGCTGAACTTGTAGTAAGTAAAGCTTTATTTTTTAATTTATCCGTAACTATTTATGGTGAGGCGAATGAAGAGCTACGATCTATGGTATTTTTTTATAAATCAAATACGCATTAGCGCACGTTTTGCGTGTGTTTTACACTATGGTGATACAGTGAAATCTTTATAACTTGAACGTCAAGGGAAACGAGTACACGAGTTTTCGATTTACAAGGAACTTCGAGATACATGTGATTTAACTGATGAAATTTCGACTTACATGGGCGCGATTTCTAAGTGTATTTTTCGGTTTGTAGAGTCAAATTTGAATAACAATTCACCATAAGTTTTGTAGTATATATTTTGTACATATTAAAACGAATTATGTATATATTAATGAAGTAAACTGTTACTTCATTAATATATAGGTACATTTATCTTCTTTTAATTTAAACTATTTGTTATTTAGAAAGTTTTATGAATGTATTCATTCATTGCACGTGTACAAGACTAAAACAATAGATTATAAGCCCCGAACTCGAACATTCATTTTGGATTTTATTGTTATTATTTCGGGTAATTCCAAGTGAGACGTCATTATATTTTTTCTAACTACGACTTACGGAATCTCCTGTTGAAATTCGAGTTATAGAGTATAAATATGTATTATCAATACTTCGTAGGGAAATAACATTTTGTTCGAATTACAAAGTATAAATAATTCGAGATATCGCGTATTTAGGGGTTCAGCGGAAGGGAATGGCATTTTTGAAGTGAAACTTCTTTATCGGGGTTGGAAAAAAATTTTGTGTAACATTTTTGCGTTACGCGTCACATTTTTCCGTTACGCGCCATGTCGCTTAATGAAGTCAAACTTCTTTATCGGCGTTAAAATATGACATATATAGTATGTTTTTACTTTGAAGTTTGACAACGGATTACATTTTCGACTTGAAATTTGCTAATCGCAATTTGCAGCAATTAATTTGTTAATTGTATGCTAGGCAGTGTATCAAAATTTACTGTGTTTAAAGAAATAGTTTCGGACCTCTAAACTTAAAACAAACCAATTATGGCTCTGCGTACAACAAAGGTTTTATATAAGTTTCACTTCTTACGTGTGTACACCTAGTACACGCACACATTTTTATTTTTTTTTACTTACTGAGGATTTCTACTTAACGTGGTTCGAGTTATAGAGTTTCCACAGTATTTCCTTCTTCCCTTCAAATAATATAAACCTTTATGCAGACAGAAATTTGAGGTAATTTTAATCTTAAACTATTGTCTCTAGTGAGTCGTTGACACTGGCCTTCTCCATTTCTTTCCACTCTGCTCTATTCTGAGCTTTCCTTGTCCATATTTTCCCAGTTACGGTTTTTAACGGTCTTCCCACTTTCGAAACTGTCTACCTCGTTTTGTTCTCTTATTTCTTGGGTACCAATATATGATCTTTTTATTTCACTTTTCTATACCTCTTATTATATGATATCCCTTCAAAACGGAAATTTAAAAATCTTATCCCTGATGTGAACCCATACCTTCCCTTCTGATTGAGTTATTAAGTGCGTTAGGTATAAACCTGGCATCACGAGTCTTTCTCACCTTATTCATAATATTTGTTGAGACACACTTTGTCACAAGAGCTGTAATGTCTTTGTATAGGTAGACTATTTTTCTAGCTATATGCAGCCCGTGTAAAGAATTTCTCTCACCTAAAATAATCTATAGGAACAAACAAACAAGTTCTTGACGTTTTAATGATTGCAATTAAAACAGTAATAGTAATGTTAGATCACAATTTTCCACTGTAATTTGTCATAATTAAACTTATTTAGATAAATTATAAAATACACAACGATTAGCCTAAATTCAATAGTTATTATCACATTTTAACGGCAACAAGGTGGACTTGTTTCTTTCATATTATGGGTCCTTTTCTAAATTATTTCTATTTGTTATCCGATTATAGTGTGTAATTATAAAACTTAACTGTTCTTATTATTATGATAATTAACATGTAATATGATAGTTTTATAATTAATCAAACTGAATGTACCACTATCTTTGCAAATAACAGATTTATTATTATGATAATTATCCGGGAGTCGACTCTGGGTTCACAATGAACAAACTTAATTCTTAAGTACCTCCTAAGAAATCATCACGAAATAAATGCAGTTATGAGGCCCAGACCTAAAAGGTTGTATTGTCAATTGGTTTTTAATGGCGGTTAGTTTTTAAATTTTAATTTTATGCTATTCGTAGAAATATGTAACTGGCATGTCTTAAACCGAATAATCGACGGTGTATTCAGGTACAAAGGGATGATCACCTAGTTGCCTATTAAGAAACAGATATCTTATTTATAAAATTCTCGTGTCACAATGTTCGTTCCCATACTCCTCCGAAACGACTAGACCGATTCTTATGAATTTTTTGATGCATATTCATTAGTCTTGAGAATCAGCTACTATATTTCAAACCCCTAAGTGATAAGGGGTGTCCACTCCAAAAATTTTTTTTTTTTTAAACATTTTTTTTTTTTATTTTTTATTATAAATCATACAAAAATACATACAAACCCCTAATTTTCACCTCTCTACGATCATCCCTTTTTTTTTATTATTGTAGATAGTTATTTTCATTGATTAAAAAAATGTTTCCTAGGAATAATATACATGGCAAAACAACGTTTGCCGGGTCAGCTAGTATATATTATATACAAATTTGAGACTAAGACTAAAGATTGTAGCGCCTCTGGTTTTGGTTTATCATCAATAAACAACAAAGAGACATGCTAAGCCAAAAAAGGTCTTTCTATGATTCCTTAAATCGTCCTTTACATATAATATTTATCTACCATTGGAGATAATTCGACTCTGAGTATGTCTTCTTCTAGAGGTTATTAACAAGTTTCTCGTACTACTGGTATTTAGTAGAATGTCAAATCGTGACTTTCAGTTGAGTCTGAATGAGTGGAACTAATTGATCATTTTAAGCTGTCTTTGAAATGTAAGTACTCTATAGGTAGGGAATATAACGTGAGACCGGATCTAGGATAATGACGCATGTGTTTATAAGGTACCTACTAGCGGATGGGCAATCGTGACCCGTAAACCTTAATATAAAAATCATTCTAGACATTAGTGAAAACCGCAATGTATTCCGTACTGTAGTTTTTGACTTGTTTTTATATAATATAAAAGTATTCGTATGATAATTACTATGCCAGAAAGAAATGGAAAGAAAACTAAAAATAAATAAAATTAAAGTACTGAAGATAGCTAGAATATGTGATGTACATGTAGGATAATAAGATAAAAATAATGTATACAATGTAAAAAAAAATCTAAGCAGTATATAATTTTTTTTTATCATTATTGGAAATTAAACGGGCTATATTATTATTATATACCAGTGGATCCCAACCTTTTTTGTGCCATGCCCCAACTTAGCTTTTCAAAAATTTTATAAAGGGGGAAGGGTCCCCCATTTCAACATAGATAATTTTTATCTAAATAATTGAATTGTTCACTTAAGACACTTAGGTTTTAGTAAGAAATTACTAAGAAATTGTTAGTGCAAAGCAGTAAATACATTTTCAAAACATAATGAAAAAGTGATTCAAATTCCAAATAATTTTAATAAATATTTGAATAGCCCCTTAACAATAGTATTGCTAAGGGGCATGGGCACCACGTTGGGAAACACTGATATATGCTGTCACTGAGTTTTTGTAGACATTATCAAGTTCTACAACTTTTACTATCGTTAAAGCAGCGTTTGTAAGAAACCTTTTCTTTCGTTCGTTCTTTCTCTCACTTCACAAATCCTATTACAAGAAAATGTCTATTTATTTTTTTGTGTTAACACGGCTTACGTTGTAGCTACTCTCTATACCGAATTTTGTCAAATTATATCCAGTGATGCATAAATCGCTTTTAATACGCAGAATTGCACCCATTCAGTTTACAAGGTAGATTACCATCTTGATTTTACACGTGTGCAGTAAAAAGTGCTTTTTAATGATTGCAATAAAATATGTTATTAAAATTAAATGTTTATTCCAATTAAGAAATTGTGTCGGCTATGTTATTAAGACATAAAACTTAAATGTTATAGCTTATGTTTAAAAAAGTTATGTTAGTGTTAAGTTAAGTGTTTTCGTTTTATTTACAACCAGCAAAATATTTTAAAACATGCAATAAAAAAGCTAGTGGGGGACTTTTAGGTCTGGACCTAAGATTTCTGTATCTGTTACGTCGGCAAGTAGGTGATTCTGATTCTGGCAAACTCAAACTCAAACTCAAACTCAAAATATCTTTATTCAAGTAGGTAACCAAGTACACTTTTGAATCGTCAATTCGACTTCTTCGGTCTAAAGTAAATAGCGGACCCATTAATCGAAGTTGGTATGTAGCTACATACTATAACTAATAATACTAGGTAGCCTAAGTAAAACATTCACAAGGCGGCATTAAGTTTCGGGGGCAGTAATTTTATATTTATTTATTGAAGTTTACCACATCGTACATACTACTATATTTACAGTATATCTCTACTATACATATATATACAATTCACGTGTCACAATGTTCGATATTCCGAAACGGCTCGACCGATTCTTATGAATTTTTTATACATATTCAGTAAGTCGGAGAATCGGCTACTATCTATTTTTCAACCCCTTAAGTGATAAGGGGTGTCCACCCCAAAAAGATTTTTTTTATTTTTAGACAGATTTTTTTTTATGATACAACATACAAAAATACATACAACCCTTAATTTTCATCCCCTCTACGATCAACCCCTATTTTTATTATAGCAGATAGTCATTTTTATTGAACTAAAACAATGTTTCTTAGAAATAATATACATATATGGCAACGTTTGTCGGATCAGCTAGTGTTACTATAATTTACATTTATTAAAAAAAAGGTAGCTTACTAATAAAACCTTACTAACAATTGGTATGACTCAAAACTCGGCGATTAAAAAGAGTGGCGGAGAATTTCTTGCCAGTTCTTCTCTTCCGTTCTACGCCGTTGATTTGAGAACTGGCAGTAAATTTAAATTTAGAATCTTTTCTGTTAATAAAACACTATTTTGACCGGATTGAAGTTATGTATTATTAT